CAGATTCCTCCAAAGTGAACTTGCTGATGCTAAATAAGGTGCAAATCCCATCTGAAGCTTTTCATGCATTGAACACATCCCTGAGGTTTGTGCACTATGGATTTTCAGGTGACTTAATACTAAGAGCCAAGCTAAACTGAAGGCCTTCCCATACTCCACTCAGAGGATTTCTCCCCAGTGTGAATTCTCTGATTTCTAAGAGCTGAACTCCCATCAGAAGTGTTTTTACTACATTCTTTTCATTCATGGTTTCTCTCTTGTATTGATTCCCAAGTGATCAATAAGGTATGAACTATATTTGAAAGTTCTTCCATTCTTTACATTCATATGGTTTTACTCCACTGTGAGTTCTCTGCATCTGACTAAGGTGGGAGTTCTGACTAAAGGCCTTCCCACATTCAATACATTCATAGGGTCCCTCCCCTGTGTGAATTCTATGATGTTTAGTAAGGAGTGAACTCCTACTAAAAGATTTTCCACACTCATTAAAATCATAAGGAGTCTCCCCTGTATGGACTCTCTAATGTTCAACAAGATGCGAGTTATGACTATAAGTTTTCCCACAGTTGTTGCATTCATATGGTCTCTCTTTGGTGTGAACTCACTGATGTTCTATTAGATTTGAGCTCCAGCTAAAGGTTTTTCCACATTCGTTACATTCATAGGGTTTCTCCCTAGTGTGTATTCTCTGATGTCAAATAAGACTTGAGCTCCAATCAAAAGCTTTTCCACACTCGTTACACATATAAGTCATCTCTCCTGTATGAATTATCTGATGCTGAATAAGGTGTGAGCTCCACCGGAAGGTTTTCCCACACTGACTGCATTCAAAGGGTTTCTCTTCAGGATGTATCCTTTGATGCTGAATAAGGCGTGAACTATGGCCAAAGGCTTTTCCACATTCAGGACACTCATACAGTTTCTCTTGCATGTGGATTTTTTCATGCTGAATAAGGTATGAGTTCCATCTGAATAATTTTCCACATATATTACACATTTGAGATTTCTCTTCGATAAGAATGTGTGGCTGTGGGATAAAGTTTGAGATGTTACCAAGTTTTGCCCACATTCAGAGTGTTCCTTGCTATTAAGGATCCCCTCATGTTTGTTTTGTTCCCCTTGTGCACCTTCATCTCCTCCATGTAGCCATAGTCCTAGTTCAAGAGTTTTCTGTTCTATAAATAATTGATCCTCAGTCCAGGTCTCTCCATCTGACAGAAAATATAAAAAAGGTAAATGTAACAATAAAAATTCCTGGTGGGAAACGGAATGATCCAAGTATTTCAGAAATATCTGACTCAAAAAAATATGAACAGCCTTGCAATATAGGGGAAAGACATAAACAAGGTAGGGAGATTTGTAGAAAGTGGTGGGGAAACTGAAGTTAGGATTTATATATGAAGCAGCTAAGCAGACAGATATACTGGAATTAGCAGAAAAGGAAATGAGAGTCTGAGGGAAGTGAGATTATTTCAGAACACAGGAAGGGTGACATCAGGGGACTATGTTTCGGGAGGGGCAGGGACTGAACAAATAGAAAAAGAAGAATCTCACCCCAGAGGTTTTATCCATATGGTCCCCTGGTCACATGGATGGTCTCTGTGGTAATAGGGAAAACTCCCTTTACATAATCAGACACCAACACCTTCCTCACTCATGAACACAGCCACATTCTGACCTTAAATGCACCTTTTAGAAATACAGTCATCCCTCACTATCCATGGGGGATTGGTTCCAGGACCCCCACAAATATCAAAATCTGCTGATGCTCAAGTCCCTTATATAAAATGGTATAGTATTTCATATAACCTACACACATCCTCTTACATACTTCAAATCATCTCTAGATTACTTATAATGCCTAATACAATGTAAATGCTATGTAAATAGTTGCTATACTATGTTGTTTTTTATTTGTATTATTTTTTATTGTTGTGTGTGTGTGTGTATATGTATATTTTTTCAGTCCATGGCTGGTTGAATCCATAGATGCAGAACCCATAGATACAGAGGGGCCAACTGTAGTGCAAATTGGGAGAATTTGATAAAGGAAGGGGTGGGGGAACGGGAGGAAAAGTTGTTTAAAATATGAAGCATGGGTAGAGAGAAATATTTCCAAATCTATTAAAATGCTAGAAGAATATATAAAAACAAATTCTGCACCTTAGCTGCATCTAAAGGAGACATAAAAGAAAAACATTTCCTGCTTACTTTAAAACATTTCTCTTCCTCCTCTTAAGTTTTACTTGTTAAATATGGCTTACTGAAGCTAGAGAAGTCATTTTGCACTAAGATTAGGGAAAGCAGGCTCTCTGCTTAGAAGGATCTTTCCAGAAGAAGGGGGTCCTGAGGAATATCCAATATAGCATTTCCATCAGCAGTGAAAGTCTAAAACGTACACAACCCTGATTTTATTAGGTAATGGTCACTGCCATAGAGGGTTAGAAATCTTGATTTCTATTTGATTATTAGTTAGGGTTTTTAGGTAATGCATTTATGGGACAAAAGTCCTCGGATAGGAGGCAAGAGCCTATAGCTAGAGGGCAAGAGCCCACCAAATCAATTCTTATCAAGTATATGTTGATTCTCAGTTGATTTTTAGTATAGGGTTTTTAGGTGATGCATGTATGGGACAAAAGTCCTCAGATAGGAGGCAAGAGCCTACAGCTAGGGGGGCAAAAGCCCACCAAATCAATTCTAATCACTGTTTAGGTAAGGGATTGTATACACTGATTGTTAATATAATGGGTTCATTGGAAGATTTTGTGAGAAGGAAACTTACATAGGTTTAAAGCCTTTAATGTGAACAAGAGAACTGAAGCAAAACAGGGATTGTTCTGAGGGCAATAACCCTTAATACAGCAAAACTTAAATGATGGGAAAATATGTGAGTTAAGATTTCCAAGGACGTTTTGCTAGATTAGTTAGTACACGGGAGTTGTTCCACATTTTGCTTTAAGCTGTTTCTTTTGAGTTTCTTAAGAAGTCAGGCACTTTAATGATTATCTTATTGTTTCTTTTGCATGTCACCTAGCTTGGATTTATGACTCTTTTGATGGTATATTGTTTAAACTATTTTGAACCATGCATGCTTGGATGAAGATTGTTACATAGCCAATTTCTTTATGTTCTTACTATGATTGATTAACCATCTGTTCTTTTCCTATAATTTCCTTGCCTTTACAATAAAAACTAAAGCAAAAACCGACTCAGGGCTATACCCAGTTTCTCCTTCTAACAGAGGAGTTGCTGAGGTGCAGTCCTTTCATCAGGCTTCTCATTGCATTCAAGCTGCTTTGAGTAATCTTTTTTGCGTCTGTTACACAGCAAGAGGTGTGACACATCGCCTTTAAGGAATTTAATAATTATCTGTGACATCTTCCCACAGAACCATATTCATACTAGATCACCGCCTCCAGACACACCTTCATTTTCTGTAAGTTCAATATGGATACTGGTTTAATGTTTTTACATCCCTTGCACATATATTTACTTGTGTGTCAAACATAGATTGCAAGTCCCTGGAAAGCAGAAACTAGGTCTAAAAAGTCAGGTACTTTGAAAAGACTGATAAAGGCACCAATTAGTCTAAAGACTAGCTGGACCAGCCAATTCTTTTTAGTAAGGTACCATAATAAACTAGTGCTACAAATTCAGATCACTCACTGATGCCTAGAACAGCACAGTCCAATGGAACTTTCACAGTGATAAAAATGTTCTACATGTGCATTGTCCAATATGGTAGCCATTAGCCACATGTGGCCACTGAGCACTTGAAATGTGGCTAGTGAGACTGAGCTGAATTTTTGATTGTATTTAATTTTAATTAACTTAAATTTAGATAGTCACTTGTGGCTAGTGGCTACCCTATTGGACAGCACAACTCCAGCACATACCTCTCATACCAGTCCCAAGATCAACATGTCCCAAAGCTGCTCCTCCTTCTGGTTAATGAATATTTGGTATAATATTCTTGCAACTCTTCTATAGCTTTAACATCTATCATAATAAAAAGTGGGGCAGGACTGTGATAACGATAAATGCCTCCCTTCTCTTCCCCCACATCCACTCAGTAAACAAGCTGCTTTTACTTATACTTCTCAATTTTTTCCCTGCCTTCATGTTATCACTGTTAATGTCCTAAAGTCAGATCCTAACCACCTCTCATCTCCAGCTTCTTAACTGGCCTCTATGTGCCAATGTTTTCCCACCCCATACCATGCTAAACGACACTGTCACACTGCTCTCCCTTGATATGCAACACTCATCAATTATCCTTTTGTTTAAGGAAAGTTAACATACTTCCGACATCTGCCAAGCAAAATCTAACCTCTTTGGCCTGGCATTCATTCTTCACTCTCTTACTCCACTCTACCTCCATCTCATCCACTATCACATCTTCTCTGTACTCCAGTTAACATGAACTACTTTTCCTGAACATTTATATCCTCAGGCATCTCCTTCTCCATGCCTTCACACCTTCTAACTTCATCTATCAAAATCCTATTCATCCTTCAAGACCCAGCTTAAAGGCAGCCTCCTTCCTGAAACCAAAACCTGTGTTAACCCCCAGCTGGAAGTGATCTCTTTCCTTTGAATTTCTAAAGCATACAGTTCCTGCCTTCCTTATGACATTTAACTACATTCTGTCTTTGGGCCCCTCCTTAGAAGTATTTTAGAAGTCATGTGTGTGTGTGCATGTGTGTTCTCTTCAATTTATATTGAAAGCATTCCATTTCTAGATAGATGTTTTCTATTTCTTTCTTTCCAACCCAAGTGCCATGTAAAGAACTCTGCACACATTAGGTGCTTACAAATGCTCCTGATTATTTCCCAGCAACCCTTCAAAAGGAAGCTCTATTCCATCAAGAGAAGAGTCTATAAATCACTGAGGATCCCAAATAGACCATTTACAAAAAGTCTTTAGGACTGAGACTCAGAATTCAGAGAGGTAAACCTCCTTAGGAGTATAAACTACTTGTAGAAGAAATATCAAAAACCTGGATCCAGACTTTGGTAGATGGCAGGAGCCCCTGGAATGCCTCAACTGACAGTGGCCAGTGTGGAACAGAGCCAGAGAAGCCCAGGAAGACAGCAGCAGCCTTTTGAAATAACAGGCAGATCAAATGTGTCCCTGTGGGTGAAGGTTTAAAAAAAAGTTTCCTGATTAATCTGCTTCTGATTTAAAGAAAGGGGAAAACCAATAAAGTTCTTCAAACAGTTTAACTACAAAGCTATGTGATCCCAAGCACATTTACTTCTAACAGCAGAAGAAATGAGCAATGCTTACAATACTGGGTCAAATATAGTCCCCCCAAAATTCATGGCCACCTGGAACCTCAGAATGTGACCTTATTTGGAAACAGGGTCTTTGCAGAGGTAATTAGTTAAGATGAAGTCAAAATGAATTAGGGGGTCCTAAACCCAATGACTGGTATCTTTATAAGAGAAAGAAGAGGGAGATTCAAACAGAGATACACAGGGTAGAGGCTATGTAATGACAGAGGCAGAGATTGGAGTGATGCAGCTAAAAGCTAAGGAGCACCAAGGATTGTTGGAAATCACCAGAAGCTAGGAATAGTCAAGGGAGGAATCTTCCCTAAAGCTTCAGAGGGACCATGGCCCTGCTGACTTTTTTTCTTTGTTTGTTTAAAGATGACCAGTAAGGGGATCTTAACCCTTGAGTTGGTGGTGTTAGTACCACGATCTCCCAAGAGAACTAACCAGCCATCCCTATATAGGGATCTGAACCCGTGGCCTTGGTGTTATCAGCACCACACTCTCCCAAGTGAGCCATGGGCCAGCCCCTGCTACCACACTCTCCCAAGTGAGCCATGGGCCAGACACCTTGATTTTGGACTTCTAGCCTTCAGACTATGAGAGAATACATTTCTTTTGTTTTAAACCAAGCAGTTGCAGTAATTTGTTACAGCAGCCCTAGGAAACTAATACACTTCCTGTTTTATTTCACTAGTCAACAAACATCTACGTACCAACTACTATGTACAAGATACCAGTAGGGGAATCATTATGGATTATATATGACCGAAGTGCTTAAAAGCACAAAATAGGAAATGGCAACCTCTACCTAGGTGAGTTGGGAATGGCATTCCCAAAGAGTGACATCAAGCTAGGTCTTAAAACTATGATCAGAATCAACAAGGACAGCCCTCCAGGCAAATATAATAGTGGATAAGGTTCAAAAACACAGAAGAGAATACCAAGTTTAAGGAGCAGTGAAAAGAAAATTTAATGTGACTGAAACGTATGCTCTACGTGGGCAGAAAGCAAGAGATACGGCAGAAAAATTGAGCAAAGCTAGATAATGAGACTTACAAGCCACCCTCCAGATTTTGGACTTGAGCCTACAGGCAGAGAATAATATGATCTAACTTATTTTCAGGGAAGTTCATTCTGACAGCAGTGTGGAAGACAGCCAAAAGTGGGGGGAAAGGCCAATAGCATAGGAATATGTTAACAATCCAAAATATATATAATTAGGGTCTAACATGAGGAAGTAGCAATGATAGGCAACAGAATCAGGCTGTTCTGGAAAAAAACAAAAACTGATAGGATTTGTGACTGAGTGAATATGGAGGGAAGGAGAATGACTCCAAGTTTCATAGCTTTGGAAAACCAGTTACTAAGATTAAACAAGGTAGTCATTAGAAGATAGGGAGGTGCAGGGCCGGCCCATGGCTCACTTGGTAGAGTGCGGTGCTGATAACACCAAGGCCACAGGTTCGGATCCTATATAGGGATGGCCGGTTAGCTCGCTCGGGAGAGTGTGGTGCTGACAACACCAAGTCAAGGGTTAAAATCCCCTTGCCAGTCATCTTTAAAAAAAAAAAAAGGAAGATAGGTAGGTGGCAGAAATGGAGGAGCTCAGAAGTGCACCTATGAACATCTAGTACTCAGGTGTCGGCTGGAAGCCAGAAACACATATAGTGGTAACCAAAGTCATGGAAGAGGATAGGATCACCCACAGGAGTGAAAAGAGAAGAGGGCTGAGAATAGTCTGGGGGAAAATCAATGTTTAAGAAACAACTGGAGAAATAGGACCAAGCATAGGCCCTGAGAATGCGAGAGAAAATGGTGCTTCCAAAACCAAGGAACAAGAGTTGTAAGGAGTGATCACATCAACAAAAAATACTACGGGGTCCAAAAAACAGGAGCTGAAAAAACGTGTTCAGTGGATTCATGAGTTAAACTACCAGTAACTTTGATAAAATCAGTTTTGATGGGACAGAAGCAGTGCCCTGCGCTGAGAAGTGAATGGCAATTAAGAAGACAGTAGCAACTGTTTGGGTTTTTAAAAAATTTTTTTAAAAGAGATATGATAGGGCTGGCCCGATGATGCACTCGGTAGAGTGCGGCGCTTGGGAGCACGGCGGCGCTCCCGCCGAGGGTTCGGATCCCATATAGAGACCGGTCGGCTCACTGGTTGAGCGTGGTGCGGGTGCAACACCGAGGGTTGCGATCCCATTGCCGGTCGCGATCCCGTTACCGGTCACGAAAAAAGACAAAAAGGAAAAAAAAAAAAAAGAGAGAGAGAGAGAGATGATAATGAAAAGAACACCAGCAATTATACCCAACTTCCCCTACTACTCAATCAGCCACCAAGTCCTTCAGGTTTTCAGGAAAATGTCTCTAGCATCTGTTTGTTTCCTTCCTCACAGCTCAATGTCTGCTTTAGAAGCTTGACGGAGGAGGCCGCCCTGCACTGAGTCTTCAAGCATGAGACCTTGGGATGTGTGGAGTTTGGACTGGCAGAGAATAGAGGGGACAGCAATACACGTGGGAGAAAGGACACAAAGGCACAATGGGGGGTAGTGCAAAGTGTCTTCAGCACTGCCTTGTACAGACACACCAGTCTTGTTGGATTTGTCTTGTGGCACACGGAGGTAGGACTTTAAAGTTGGCTTGAAGCCACATTGCACAGGACCCTGAATACAGATTATGGAGTATGAACTGAATCCAGCAGGCACTGTGAACTAAAGTGAATAAATGAGCCTTTTAGGCAGGCTAACAAGACTAGCAGCAGGGCAGGGAGACTTATCCCCTCTCAGGTGACTATTCCAACTCAAATCTAAGTTCATGGGTGTGTAGGGGTTAGGTTTTCTTTCAATTTTGTCTCAGCACCTCATAATAATTACTCAATGAACACTTGTGAAGTTAAAAATTAGCCTGAACAGATAATTAGAACACTAAATGTGTGAAAGAAAATCCCCCAAGTATAAACCATCTCGAAGTCCATAATGTGGATCATCTAAACCTTTGTACCCCAATTAAAAAATACAACTCCGTTGTTTGTTCTTTCTCAACGCCTCTGTCCCCGTGTGCACCCCACTGTCCTCCCCTCAATTCCCGCCCTATGTCACCACCCATCTCCACCTCCCTCTTTGATAACTGGCCAGGCTGACCCTGCGGGACCAGAACCTCAGTCCAGGTTGTCTTCCTTTCCCTTCGTCGTTTCACTCCAGCCTCCCTCTCGCCCCGCGTCCCCCAGCTTTGCCTAGAGTATATAAATAAGCAAGAGAAACATCCTCTACCATATTCTGCTGATAGGAATTAAAACCTTAAATGGCCTGGAGTATGAGTTTGCCAGAGGCCTATCTGATATGTTGAAGCATGAAAAAATATTAAGGAGATTAATTGATCGCGATGACGTTTTTCCTATTAGAAACAGCAGCTAGCAGTTATGGAGCACCTAAGCTGACATTATCTCATTAGTCCTCGCAACAATCCTTCGAAGTTGGTATTTTTTACCATCTTAAAGGTCAGCAGCTGCAATTAGGAAGCAAAAAATGCAGCGTTTGAACCCTGGCCTGCTCAGACCACAGCCCGGGTGTCTAACTACACCCCTGAGGAAGACTGGAGATTTATGCGGACAAATGAGGAAAAGACAAACACTTGTAATTATGTGTAAGTTGTAAATTTATAAACATGAATGAAATTAAATATGAGGCTAACCATTTTCTAGAAATGAAGAGAGTAAATGGGAAGTGCTGGCAAAATAAAAAATTCCAGTACTTATTTTGTTGTTGTTGATTTGTACAGGGCACCACCTGTTTGAAATCACTGAGTCTTAACATTGGTTTCTTCACACACTCTTATTTTAAAGTCAAACAGCTAATAAACAGTAGAGCAAAGCTCAAATATAGGTATGTCTAATTCCAAAGTCATTGATTTGACAACCACTCTAACCTTTAGTCATCTTTACTCAACAGACGGTGTAGGGAAAATAGGCTAATTTAGTCAGGCTCCCTCGGCTCAGGTCTGGTTGGAGGTTGAGCAGCACATTTCTTGTAAACAAGTTGTGTGTGGGTGGAGTTAGTGTGCATGTGCACCAATATATCTTTTTAGTTTTATTGCTATTATGTGTTCTTGAGTTTGTGAAGCAGAGCTAGCTGGCTGGCAGAGCTGAGACTAAAAATGGAGCCTGTTTATGCTGCAGGCAGCTTTTTTTTTTTTTTTTTGGGACTTTGCTGGTAGCAGTTGAGTTTCTGAGTTTCTCTTTGTACTGCCTAGCTCCTAGACATGTGTGTGCTCAATAAAGACTATTCCTTCTTCAACCAAGACTCCAAAGACCTTTTTGCCAGTTACCTAGCTCATAGACCTGCATGTGAAGGGTTTGTGAACAGGCTCGAGGGGTCTGTGAGCACCAGACCTAGCCCTACAGTTTAATTCATTTGATTACGTTAACTATATCCATTGGCTAGCATTATCATAGTGCCTAGCAATAGAATTACTGAATGAATGGATGGGGTTACATTTTTAGATGTGGGAATTCCATTGTGCTTTGCTGAGATGACTCACTAGGCAGTCTCCTTTGAACTTTGTTCTTAAACCTCCTCAGTTGCCCATGTACTACTTCCTAGGGTGAAGTGTTTCTCCAGAGCTCACTTATGCATTACCTTGGAAATACCATATTCTTTCTTCTGTAGACTTTTTGATATGCTTTCCCTTTTGCCTAAAGTACTCTCCCTGCTCCTCTACCAGTGGTCCTAACCTTTCCGGTCTACCTCTATCCACCCTTTTGCTCAAGCCCCAAACCTAGGAATCAAACCTGAATCTTCCCATTACCTGCCTTGCTCCACTGCAATGATATAACCAGAAGTAATAGTAAATCTTGGTAAGGGTACATGTCCATCAGCAAGTTCTAGTTAGCAGAAAAAATTAAGAAAAAAATTGGGGGCACTGAAAATAAAAATATAAATCTAGTGATGGCAGCAGAGGTGTTTTCGCAAGAGATATGTATGAATTTGGGAGGTTTGACTTGTGGTCTGCCATTGTCAAAATTGTCTAAGCCTGGTTCAAGGAGGGGATTTGACTAGTTCCTAAGTAATCTCAGGATATTCTCTTCTTGTAATCAAAAGAGTTCTGGAAGCATTTGGGATCAGTTGCAAACTATTATTGAATCACTGGGGATGTGATAGAAAATAAAGACCTATCAAAGAAAACTTCTCTGGGTTCTGAGATGTGTCAAATACCAACATGATGATGGAAGGCTTTAGGGTCAAACTGACATGACTTTGGGCCATTAACCTGTTGTGAAATAATAACTATAAAATGAAGCTAGCTCCCTTGCAGAATTGTTACAAGAATTGTCTGAATACATGCATGCATACATATGTGTATGTAGGTGGATAGTAAATAAATTAGGTGTCCCTCTGCTAAGATTTCTCGTCTTCACTCCCCCTTCAAAACCAAAAGACTAGAAACACAAACTCTTACTTATTAAGAAATCACATTCTTCCTAGTTCTACTGAAACCCCAAACTATTTCCTCTTATTTTATGTATTGACAACATCCCAGTGGAACAACCCTTTAATCCTAAACATTCAGCTTTTGTTCCAGACGTCTGTGGAAAAGCAAGCTTTGTTTCAATACAAAGAGTGATCTACTTGTTGTAAAGCAGGGTTTGGGGAGAAACTGAGCTGCAGCCAGGAAGGTGATTCCAAGATTCCCAAATGCTTCTGGCTGGGGCCTTCAGATTTCACTTAAAACAGATTCTCAGAATATCAAACACACCTTTATTCAAGTGGAAGTACAAAAGCACTTTCCTAAACCAAATAGATACATGTGATTTTTACAAATTCTGCTATTTAGGGATTACTTAATCCTGTTTCAGTCACCCGAGGTGACTGTTGGTCTCCATAAGCAAAGGTATACAAGTTTAACGGAAAAACAAACATGCATTTCTCATTTGCTTTACATTTAGATCAATTCATTTATATATCAATTTCATTTAGATCCCTACCTTGCCCTGATGAGATCCTATGTTTGTTGATAGCAAAGAAGTAAATATGTGGCAGAACTATTCTAGAGGCTAGCCATAAGAGGATTATAGAGTGAGCAATAAATTTTTATATATTTGTTAAGGATCCCTAGTCAATTTAACATCTGAACTATGAGAATCTCATTTGCTGGACTGACAACTAGAATTTTAAATAACACTCATCTTATTCACAAGATTTTATGAAGCTTAAGATAGAAAAATATAATAAGATGCTCTGACACCTAAAGAACCATGAACTCTTGCTAGGTATATGATGGTGACCCTGAACTCTGAAGCCAACATCTGTGATCGGCCTTATCAATCAAAAAAGCCACGTTCTTTCATTTGGTCTATAGATTTTAATAAGATGTGATGATGAATAAACAATTATACACAAAGCCTCTGCACTTCAAATACTGTCCTGATGAGGAGAGATTTTGGGGGTGCAGGGTTGGGCAGCAGATCCAAACAAAGAAGCAATCATGTTAAAAATTTTACCAGTAACAAACCTGCCACTCTCTTATTGTCTCTGGAGATACTACATAAGAATGGCAACCTCTTTGTTAAAAGGCTACATTCTTTTGAAGCTAATTTTTTCATTTATGTTCTTTATGTTTGCTCTATCAAAAGCAGACCTGAGCATTTTGCTGGACTTCAACAGAGGCACAGAAAAGAATTCAAAACTTATACATGCAGAACAGGCACTGAATAAATAGCTAGACCACCAGGGGTCTTGCTGGCCTCCTGATGTCCTTATTATCTCTTTTCAAGGGCTGTGGATGGAGATGAGGCAGCTAAAAACTTGGGCATCACTTGAAAATGTTAAGCTGCCTGCCACAAACTCAGCTTTTGTTCCAGAGGTCTGTGGAAAAGCAACCTTTGTATCAATACAAAGAAGAGTGTTTCACTCTTGTGAAGGTTTCAGGGAGAAAACCGAGCTGCAGCCAGGAAGGGGATGGCCCAAGTTCTCTCCAAAACTGACTCTTACACCTGCTCTACATAGTACTCTACTGAATCCTCAAATCCTTCAAACTTACAGATGGGCTGGATGTGGAAATTCAGTTCTTTTAAAAGAAGACGCTTCACTTTAGGAAGGAAAACACCAGACCAGCAACATCAAGTAGGGACAGCATACCTATTGGTGAAAAGCTTAAAACTAGGAAACCATCACTCAAAGGTGCTTAAGAGAATAGGGAAATCAACAGGAATTCAAGTGTGGCTTTAAAGGAAAGCGACGTAAAGAAAGCCTAAGAGTCTGTTTTGGAGAGCTCTTGGGCCAAGAACAGCAGAAAAAGCTAAATAAGCTACTTTTCAGAAGTTATGTTTTAACACTGGTTCATTAATGGTATTTTAGGAAAGCTGTGAAAAATAAGAACCAATTTCAGGAAAAATAAAAATCTTCATAGGCCATATTAAAATAAAAATAGCTTAAATGAATTCTATAAATAAAATATACACAACTACATAGAAGTTATATTAAATAAAAGAATGCCATGAGAAAATGGCACTACATTTACCAAGTCACCCCTCAGACTAGATTCTTCTGCAATGAAAAAGACTGGAAGTATATATTAACAATTTCATACACAAATAATTTTCTCTCCAATACTTTGATGTTTGGTAAAGCCTGAAATATGCTGGCAAATTTTTCCATTTGCATTATATCAGATTCTCATCTGATATGGATATTCTGATTGTGACAAAGACTTAACTCCTACTGGAAGATTCGTCACATTTCTTACACTCCAATGACTTCTTGGGTATAGACTTTTTGATGTTGACTGAGTGCTGAATTATGATTGAATCTCCTCACACACGTACACCTTTATTTTACATTCAAGACTTTTGCATGGCATGAATTTGATACTGAACAAGGTAGTTTCTTTGACTGATGGCTTTTTCACATTCACTTCAGCCATGGAATTTTATTCCAATATGAATTCTCCAATTGCGACTAAGGTATGAAAATAGCATGAAGAATTTACCACATCCAGTACATTCAAAGATTTTCTCACTGGTATGACTTTTCAGAAGTTAATTAAGAGTTTAACACTGACTAATTGCTTCCCTGCATCTGTCACATTCAGAGGGTTTCTCTCTGGTGTGAATTCTCTGATGCTGAGTAAGGGTTGAGCTATGACTGAAGGCTTTACCATATTTAGTACATACATGATTTCTCCCTGGTGTGAACTCTCAGATGTTGAATGAGGCTTGAACTTGACTAAATGTCTTCCCACGTTCATTACATTCATAAGGTTTCTCTTTGGTATGAATTCTTTGATGCTGAACAAGGTGTGCTCTCTGACCGAAGTTCTTTTCCCATGCGTCACAACCAAAGACTTTTTCTCTAGTGAGGATTTCTTGTTGCTGCAGGATATCTGAGCTATGACTGAAACTTGGCTCATAATCATTACATTCATATGATTTCTCTTTCCTATGCACTGCTCTCTGACCGAAGTTCTTTTCCCATGCGTCACAACCAAAGACTTTTTCTCTAGTGAGGACTTCTTGTTGCTGCAGGATATCTGAGCTATGACTGAAACTTGGCTCATAATCATTACATTCATATGATTTCTCTTTCCTATGCACTTTATGATGCTGAATAAGGCATGAGGTTTGACTGAAAGCTTTTCCACATTCATTACATTCATGTGGTTTCTCTCCTGTGTAAACTCTTTGATGCTGAATAAGATGTGAATTCAATCTGAAGTCTTTTCCACACTCATTACATGTACAAGGCTTTTCTCTGAGGTGAATTCCTTGATGTTTAATATGGGCCAACCCACATTCATTGTACTCACAGGATTTCTCTTCATGGTGGACTCTCTGAGGTTCAAGTGAGTATGAAGTATGACAAAAGTCACTGCCACATACAGTACACTTACAGGGCATTTCTCTGTGAATTCTCTGATGTTGAGTAAGGTGTACACTGCGACTGAAGACTCTTTCACAGTTGCTACATTTATAAGATTTAGCTCTGGTATGAATTTTCTTATGCTGAATTATGTCTGAGCTCTGACTACAGCATTTATCAGATGCTTCACAGGATTTATCAGATGCTTCACATTTATAGGGTTTTTCTCTAGTGTGTATTCTCTTATGTCGACTAAGACTTGAGCTCTGACTGAAAGATTTTTCACATTCTTTACATTTGTAGGGTTTCTCTCTAGTATGGATTCTCTGATGTCTAGTAAGGGCTGAGCTCTGATGGAAGATTTTCCCACATGTATCACATTTATAGGATTTCTCAGCAGTAGGAATGCTCTCCCATTTACTAAGGTGGGAGAGATCCATTAAGCTTTCCTTATACTCACCACTCTGAAAATTCTGTGTTAGATTTATGTGTTCATGTTTACCAGCAGCTGAATTCTGGTTGAAGCTCATGTCGTACTTATCATTGTCATCAATATTCTGTATTCTAAGAACTCTCTGATCTGTATCAAGGGTAGAGTCCAGACTGAAGCTTTTTTCAGGTTCATTACATTCATTGTTTTCACTGGTGAGGGCTTTCTTGCTGATTGTTATTTGCCTAAACTCTCTCTCCAGGAAGAGAAATTTCCTTAGGATTTCCTGAAGCCTTTCTAATCTGTCCTCAGTCTTATACACTTCTCTAGTCTCAGGAACTTGGGCAATATCCTGTTTGAGTCTTCCTACTCTCATTTTGTATGAATGTACTTCTTCCGAAATTTTCTGCTTAGGAATCAACAGCTTGTTCTCTTCTCTGGTCTCTCCATCTGATACAATACATAAATAGAAAATGCAAATGTAATCTGTACCCTGTGCTTAGAAAACGAAAACTCAGGAGAAAACTACAGAATGTAGTTTGTACGAGAGGATAACAGAAGTTTATTTACTCTGAAAAACAGGCACAAAATCTCAAAAGCAGAAGTAAGGGCATGAATAGGAAAAGTGAAGAAGGATCCAAATGGTACAGGGTGTGGTAGAAACAGGGGGCATGTTCAGCACAGTAAGAAGATAACCAGTTAAGATATTTCAAAGGAAATAGTTGAAAACAATTTTAGATAAGCAACTTGAATATGGACCTAGTACAACTTATGCTTAAAGGGCTAAATAAATGGAAAGGGTCAACCTAAACTGAAAGGAAAAGGAAGGAGTTCTCCATTCTGGGACATAAACAGAGCTCTCCATTTTGAGTGCCAAAGCAGCTACAACTTGACCCAGCAATTGGACTTTTCTTCCCTATTAACTTCATCTGATTGATTCTGCTTTACTCACCTGAGTAGTCATCTCTTAAGACTTCTCTATTCTTAGTTTCCAGATCAAAGACCTGTAGATCTTGTTCCAGCTGGGAGATCCCATCAGGCTTGGAAATTGGAAATCCTGCTCACAGAGAAGGAAATGGGATGTGGCGATTTATCCCCAGATGGTACACCAGCCACTTTTTAAGTAATGGTTAATAAAGAGAGATGGTAAGTTCTGAGAAGACATTCATTAGAAAGGCTTGCAGAGTGAGGATGGCAAATATCCTCTAAAACAAGCTCCGATTTGTGCTCTAGGAAGAGGCGTGTGAAGGAGCAAGTGGATGATTTGGGAACAGAAGTATTCACTTAAACATTTTCAGGGCTGGCCAATTAGCTCAGTTGGTTAGAGCATGATGCTTGTAACACCAAGGTCCAGGTTTTGATCCCTGTACTGACCAACCGGCAAAAAAGAAAAAAAAAATCTTATTCAGACAAGGGAATTTGTGCACAGGTGTGCACTTGTCTTCACAGAAGTTATCATTATCACTCTCCATCTGTTGCCTAAAGATCAATCTTTGGGTTAGACTTGGTCTACAAATATCAAGATGGAGGTCATCAAAATATAATTTTGCTGCTGGACAAAGGTAAAACCCAAGCATCTGTAGCAACAGAATCAGTGAAGACTGAATAAATATTCCAAGGACCAATCTCAAGAAACAATTAGTTTCAGTGCACATGAGGAAACAAAGAATAATATGACACATTCTTATTCATTAGGAGTTTACACTGTTGCTTTTTCAACAAACATATATGCAGTGCCTCCTATACACAACGTATGCAGAGGATAAAGAGCCCAAGCAAAAGGTCCATCCCCTCAAGGACCCCACACTAAGACAGCTATACACAACTAACTACAATATGATATAGTGAAGTAAAAGTGATATAAATGTGCATCTTCACATAAAATGGCCTTGCTATGGCTTGAATAATGGATTGCTAGGATCTAAATTTCTTTTAAAGCAAAAGCAACAGGCAGGACAGAACTTTAATACTGTCTCAAAAGGCAGTTTTTATATGTGTTCAGCCCAGAAAGCTTCTAGTAGTACACATACAAGGTCCAGCTCAAACAACTCATCTCCAAAAAGCTTTCTTTCCATTTACGGAATGTTTACAAAATGTATTGGTTCGCCTTATCTTGACATGTCACCTATAATGGTGTTTACAGATTTTTTAAAAACTGGTTTCAGGTATTATCATCCCCAATAGATTTATAAACTCTTTGATAACAGGGGCTACATATCTTATTCTTTTGATTCATTTACTTAGTTATTTATTAAGTGCCAACTTTGTACCCAAGTGTTAGTGTATTAACAGCTACCAAATTTTATAAAAAGGGCATGTTGGACCTGGAAAAGATGATGAACCAATAGCTACTCCTTGGGGTCCCATGTGAGAGTCTATAAGCACAGAGATCAAAACAGATATAAGAAAGGCATTTACTGTGTTTCTGAATTCCTGCTGGGCATTAATAAGAGTCCATTCTCTTTTTGGACACATTTAATTAAGGTCCTCTATGTCAAATAACATAGTTTTGCAAGTTTCAATAATAAAGTTAAGTGTGACAAGAAGGAGGAAGTATTGTGTACAGAATTCTGACAACATTATTTGCAACTTTTAACTTTGAGATATTTATGAAAGTGTTTCTCGGTGTTAGATATTTGAGACAAATTTTGGTTATTCACTCCATACTACACTTAAAATACAGATGCACAACAAGAAAGATTGTCTTCATGCGGGATGAGAGGTTTAATCTTAGACCTGTATTTAATGTAATATAGGAAGTTATAAAAGAAAATTCCTAGCAGGCAGAGATACAAGACTGAAGTTCAGAAGAGAGAACAAGGTTCAAGATATAGACTTAAAGTCACGTCTATCACCAATATCATCAAAATATTAATGTTTACTAAGCACTTAGTATATGCAAAGTACCATGCCAAGAGCTTTATAAGCTTTCACTCACTTAATACCATAAGTTTATGAGGTAGGAAATATTATTGTACCCATTTTACAAATGGGAATACTAAGATTCAGAGAGGTTAAGTAACTTACCCAAGGTCACAATAACTGGTGGAGCTAAGATTCAAACTCAGTCTTATTTCAGAACCTTCCTTTTAAGCAATCTACCAGTAAAACATGATTATGAATGAAATCTATCCCTTCCTCCAAAATACATACAGAAAGGAAAGAACAGAAGATCAGTGTACTGACAATGGAGTAAAAGGTAAAAATAAAAACAACATAGAGGGCCGGCCCGGTGGGGCACTGCTACAGTGCGCCGCATGGGAGCACGGCGGCGCTCCTGCCAAGGGTTCGGATCCCGCATACAGACCGGCCGCTCACTGGCTGAGCGAGGTGCGGGAGCAACACCGAGGGTTGCGATCCCGTTGCTGGTCCCGGTCCGGTACGGGCGCAACACTGAGGGTTGCGATCCGTTGCCGGTCAGTAAAAAAGACAAAAAGGAAAAAAAAAAAACATAGAAAAAGTGATTAGAATAATACATGGAGAGCCAGGATCCTAAGGATATGGAATCATAAAAGTTTTAATTAAAAGGGATCTAAGAGATATCTAGTGTCAAAGAAATGCAGATCTCTTTAAAGTCAAATTGCAAACCCCTAGCCAATAGTCCGAGCAATATTCAATTTGAGGAAATTCCACTCTAAAGAAATAATTTGAACACTTTCCTGAAGTGTTTGATTAAAAAATCTGGTCTATAACTCATATCACTTCTTGTTCTTTCCAAAATACTGAAGTACTCTAACTAGCATGAGCCAGGTACTTACATAATCTAATTTAATCCTCGGCACAACCCAGAAAGGTAGACATAGATGAAGAAAATATGTGCAGATAATTTGCTCAACATATCACAGTTAGTGAGTAGAACCCGAGTTTGATTCCATAGTCTAAGTTCTTTCCAATCTATCATACTGCCTGTCACAGAAAGCATTAATAATAGCAGGTTTTCTTGCCACTGATCTGAATACATTCTTCCTAAATTTAACTCAAAACTCTGTGGATTCAAAATATGCACTTGCTTTAAATTTTTATTTAAAATTTATTTTTTGTTAAAACCTTTTGATTTTTTAATTTAAATCTTGAGTTTTTTCAATTAGATTTATTTTAACCTGGTCTTGAAAAATAACATTTAAAATTTACCTTATTATCTTATTATTTGGTTTCTTGCTTTTATCAGAGTTGTGCTACAACTTTAGCCATCTGGAAGTTTTATGCTTCTCTTCCTGATGCTTAATACACAAATAAAATCTCTCCTTAGCAATATCATTCTTTTGTAGATACCTGTTGTACTGGAATTTATCCCTAGACAGTTTTACTTCTTGTATGCAAGTCCTTTCTCATCTCAAACTATACAAACTGACCTGTCCAATGTATCATAGCCATTTTGAATTCTTCATGTCATCAGAGGTCAGACAACTCACTAAAAATACAAAAACTTCATACATGATTGGACTAACAACTATACAAACTGACCTGTCCAATGTATCATAGCCATTTTGAATTCTTCATGTCATCAGAGCTCAGACAACTCACTAAAAATACAAAAACTTCATACATGATTGGACTAACTGTCCTAAGGGCACAAAACAGTGAAAAAGGGCATGGGCTTCAGACAGATCTGGGTACCAAGTCTGTCACTGACGCTACAAAGATCACAACTTCTCTGACCCTCAGTTTCCTCAGATATAAAATACTAATAATAACATCTATTCACAGAGTTATGGTAAGAATTAATGAGATACATACAGTACCTACTAACATACTGGCTGTGTAGTAAATGGTAAATAGCTGTGTCAGTAGAAAACATTTTGTGCAAAATCACTGCTGTCTTCCATGACATCAAGTTCAAAAAGCAAGGGGTATGTGCCAAGCATGAATTTTAATAAGCATGTTTCTAACACCATTATCTAATAGAGCACCTGCCACACTGACCCATGTGAAATGCAAACCAGCCCCCTTTTCTGGGTCTTAATCTCTGGCACTAAGTTACAGGTAACTTCCCTTTGGGTACAACCCTCAAGCCATTTACTCATTCATTACCAATAGAATATGCTTCTTTTTCAATTTGGTAATGAAAATTACTTATTACCTACTTTTGAAATCAGCTATTTATACTCCAAAGGAAAGAAGTTCTGATGTCTGTGACAAATACAATCCAGATCTACTGCCATGGGGGAAAGATGTGAATTGGGAAATGGGGCTGCTATAAGTCAGGAACTGAATTATAAAGTCCTTATTTTACAACCCCAAACAGTAAGTTCAATTAATAAATGCATAAACTCAAATTTTAGGTGGAGATTGCTGAACCTCACGTATATGAAAATGACTTCCCAACAACTACAAAAATAATTGCTAAGGAGACGCTACTGACATGATCACAAAAGCAAGTTGAGTAGGAAGGTTTCTTGTATGTGTATGTCTGGTATGTGTGAGCGGACACATGTGTCCTGTGTGGGTGCAGAGATGACAGAGGAAATGGGATAAAGTTCAGTCTAACAGCATGCTATGCTATTAGACTGCAATAAACTACTACAAAGTTTCTTTACTCCAGAAAGTAGACAGGTTAACTGTTGGAAATTCTGTAATTATTAGGTAAAATGAACAGCAGTTTACAATTATATATATATATAATTTTACAGTTTACAAAGTTATTAAATATACATTCATTTTGATGCCCTGACATGAAGAAATTTAAGTTTTTTGCCCTCCCATTTCCCCTCCATCAAGGACAGAGCTAAGGAACATTTGATCGGGAAAGGTAATAAAAATGCATCAACCTGTATAGCGCCACAAAGAATAAAGGGGAGTAAGGGAGGACTCTGAAGAGTGCCACAGGGACTTCAAGGAAGAAGAAAACTAGAATGTTAAAAGTGAGGAAAACCCAGGGGTCACAGGAGAGTTAGGCAATGTAAGGGGAAGGTCATGTTCACTACAGAAAAGAAGGGGCACACAGCATATGTTCTACATTCTAAAATAATATGAAAAGAACATAACTGAAGAGCTGGAGTTGAACTTTGTGGTTTCTCAGAACATAAGTAGATGACAACTAACAGTGGTTTCTGAATGAACTGGATTCAAAATGTATCTGGTTGCAACAGAGGGCTTCCTTTGGCCCCTTATATTACAAATTTAACAAAGGTCGTTTCAGGAGCTGCAATTTACACAGTGGTGGTATCCTGGGGAGCAAATATCACATTAACCAAGCTTAATATCTTACAATCGTGGAAAAGGAGTTTCCGAGCAGGGATGAGCAATATCGATGGGAAGCCGATACTTGGGCCATCTCTTGGAGATTCCTGCTGTAAGGACTGCAAGTGTTTCTCCAGAGAAAGCACTTGCCTGGGTATGACTCAGGGCCGGGCAGGAATTCACACTATGAATCCGGGTGGTGGGAAGACGGAGAAGTTTGCCTACAAAGATCAAAGAGCCAGGAATGGAAAACACACTAAAAACCTTCCCAGTGGGCAGCCTGCTTCCCCACAGATTAGAAGACCTCTTGAATCCTGAGTGTAGCCAGGGAGACAAAGCAATGCCTTGGATGCCACCAGCAGAGGCAAAGCGAAAAAATTAATATTTTTTTTTAAAAGACAGAGAAAAGAATAGTGTGGTTACATACACACATACACACACAAAAAAGAAGAGTACAGAAACACATACAGGCAAAAAAAAGAGAGAGAAAGAACAATGCTCACATCAAGGAAGCTGCACACGACTCCCACTGATGCATCTCCACAGCACCATGGGTTCCCTAATCCCAGCTGCCTACTGTACCACTCAAAAAGACAAAGGAGAGACACAGTTTAAGAATTTACCCCACCTTAGTATTCGGTAAATGATAGAGACTTCTGCTGCCCTGGGTACAGATACTTGGGATTCCCATCTGGGTGATGGAAATGGACTCAAAGTGAGTCATGCCTTTAAATGAAGTCTCTCAAATTCTGCCTGCTTGGAGATGAATTTGGGATCTTAAGAAGTGAGGGACTACTGAACAAGAAGGATTTTAGCCTGTCTTTAAAAAAAAATTTCTTCTTCCTTAAAAAAATGGGAAACCCTCAGATACAGGGGCACTGAGATTCCACAGAGGAAAGTGTCTACTTGGGGGTTGGGAGGCCACCCTAGAGTCTCTCATAAAAAAGGGAAAAGATAGGGAAGGTGAAAACTTAGGCAAAGCACAAGCAAGTTTCCCTTTACTGACAAGGAACAGATGCCCCACAAAAGCAGGAAACAAACTGGGAATAAGGAGCAGAGTGTCTCCTCTTGACATCCCCAACCTTAATTACCCCTCCCAGAGGAGATCACCTTAAAGATAAAGGATTGGGAGGTTCAAAGACCTGGAATCTGAGCCACACTCTACTGACCTCAGAGATCGCACACCTACACAGAAACAAGGAAGTAAAGAAATCCAAATAGATAAACTGAATAATAAGGAAGAAGGTCCTTACCCAGTGAGACCACGTTCCCATAATTCTCTAACATCACTTCTCTGTAGAGGTCCCTCTGAACAGGGTCCAGGCATCCCCATTCCTCTCGAGTAAGGTGCACAGCCACATCCTCGAATGTCACAAACTCCTGAAATAATACATTCTGGCTGCTCTGGGGAATGAGGCCTCTATGGCACCATGGCCAGAGAATAAAGATGACAGACAGTATCCAGTGTATATTTATGTTGGGGAGGTGGGAGAACAGATTAAAACCTAGGGAATAAAAAAAATCCCATAACCCTTAAACAACTGATAAGTGCCCATCACAGTACCATGGACAACAAAGGAACCGTATTTGCTTGTGGTGTTGGGGAGATGGAAAGGTGGTTTGTGTGAAGTCCAGGTCTCGAAAAGGACCAGTTCCCACTCTGGGGTCTGCTATTGAAAAAAATTCCAGGCAAGGTTTACAGATGGGATGAGGGAGAGGCCACATTCAATCAGCACCAATATTCCTTGAGGAAAAGCACAGGTTCCTCAGCTCACCTGGTACCTGGCAGTCAGGAGCGCAGCTGCCTGGTCTCCTGGGCTTCCCTCATGGGGAAGAGCAGGCACCTGGGGAACAGGTGGAGCTGAGGGAGGAGAAAGGAGCCAAGAGTGAGAGCAGCCCTACCCCGCGGCTCCCTTTCAGAAGAGGCCTCTCCAGCCCAAAGGGTGTCAGTGGGACCCTCCTTCACATCAATATTCTAGTAAAACCAATGAACATTTATCCAGTATTGGGTGTGTCTACTCTGCTCCTTCTCAGTACTTGCATATCTTACTTAGGCATGTTTAGACCTGTGACTCAGGATTTTATTATATCTCATATTCCACTTTATCCTCATGACATGACACTCCTCTCAGAGAAGAGTAAGTACTATACCTGTTTTGCAGATGGGCAAAGCAAAGCATAAAGACTTGCAGTGACTTGTCCAGGGCCAGGGTTACTTATTAGCCTTCTGACACTTTCCCAGACACTGTTCTGCAAATTTCCTTAAGCCTTTCTTTTGTGAATGGGCCTGTGTCTGCAACCACTGTACAAAGCCCCAAAGAATAAGGAATGGTCATCTGTTTCCTCAGTCCTTTCCACTCTAACAATGCCCCGCAGTGCTGTACACACTGTTGCACTTGATCTGTGCTGTTCACACACACACAAGTTATTTCAGGCACTGGAGGTGGCCACAAGCAATTTAAGACACAGTTCTTACAAAACACAGAAAGAAGGGCCGGCCCGGTGGCGCACTGGAGAGTGCGCCGCCTGGGAGCGCAGCAGCGCTCCCACCGAGGGTTCGGATCCCATGTGGAGACCGGTTCCCGCTCACTGGTTGAGCGCGGTGCGGGCGCAGCACCGAGGGTTGCAATCCCGTTGCTGGTCCCCGGTGCGGGTGCGACACCGAGGGTTGCAATCCCATTACCGGTCAGTAAAAAAGACAAAAAGGAAAAATAAATAAATAAATTTTTAAAAATAAATAAATAAAAACACAGAAAGAAGGTAGGGTTGCGATCCCATTACCGGTCAGTAAAAAAGACAAAAAGGAAAAATAAATAAATAAATTTTTAAAAATAAATAAATAAAAACACAGAAAGAAGGAGAAAGAAAAACTTACCTATACAATTTGTATAAATGTGATAGTATAGTCAATATGTGATATGTATACATTCACACGAGCATTGTGCTCAATGAAGAAATTAAATGGTTGTTTTCCTGACCAAAATAAGATTAGTCACAATCACTGCAGTTGCAACAAAGTGGCAGGTCGCAAAGCACACAAAGTCAAAGTGAAACTAAGTGAAGGCAACAGGAGGAAGGAAAGGCCCTGACTTTAAAAGGAAGTGACAGCCAGGCAAGGATTGTGAGATGTGGCAAAAGCAGCATATCTTAGAAATTATTCTGGATGTGGTAACTGGGATGAAGTGAAGTTTCTCTGAAGGAAAAACAGCCAGAGCAGAGTGAATAGAAAGATGAACTGTCCTTCCTAGAAGGGCCCAGACCAGGAATGAACTGAGTCACATCTGTCTCTCCTTTCTAGTCCCCCTTCTAGGGGCCATCTTCTTATTTAAGTTCCTGGCCTCTTTCATACCAGGCCCAGGAGCATCCTCAGAAGTCCCTCTACACTCCAATTCTCCTGGATATAAAGCTGTCTCTGCCTTACCCCCAGTGAGTCCCTGTTCCATGTCGGTGTCCTGCACGAGCTGAAGCTCTCGGGAGTGACCCTCAGAGTGGGTCTCCAAAGACTGAAACTGGACCCTTGGTGATCCTGCTGCTTCCTGAGCCGGTATTTCCTCCATCACTGTTCTGGAGGACAATGACCATCACTGTGGGGTGAAATTAGGAGAAATTATTGTAATGACTTAAAATATCCCATCAGGACTTTACAAAGTATCTTACACAATGTCGATCCACAATAAAAATTAGTTGATAGTGACTACCCAAAATAAACAGAAAAATGGATATTATTCAGTTTCAAACACTTAAGAACCAAATCATATGATCCAAGTATGCAGGTTGATTTGAACTCTACTAATTCAGAATTTGTGACATTAAAAGATAATCAACACAGTACAATTTAATAATGTAAAGCTTTCTGTAGAAAGTTTAAAACATTTAAAATTGACAACCTTCTTTCGAGACTCAAGTTTGTATCCAGAGAAATATGCTAGTTATAATTACTCTATTTTTTTTTAAAAGCAGGCCCCTTTGAACTATTAAGTGGGCTGGACTAATAACACTCCACTTTTGGGGTTAGACGCTTCCCTAGGTCAGACTGGAGGGCAGGCCTTTTCCCTCAACCCTAAGAGTGATGCAGTGAAGAGCTGCGATTCAAACAGTTTTGCCTGGTGTCCTTCAAACCCAAGGACGTGAGAGGGTTCCATCCTCCTTCCACAACCCTTAGTAACAGCCCTGGCCCGGCTCCTAGCACAGTCCTCAGAAGGCCTCGCCCAGCGCTGCCCTCCTCCCAGTTCCCTTTTAGGCGAAGGCAGGGTCTCAAAAGGGACAGAAGAGCCACACAGACCCAGCTCACACTAGGGCACAGTCATCGGGTCCTGACCGCGGGGTCCTCAGTCCGCGGGGCAACGGGGCGACCCCAGACTGAAGAGAAACAGGAGCTCGCACGCGGACCTCCGCACGTCCCTGGTCACTGGAACCGCAGTCCGCCCGGGTCGGGCGCCTCCTCCTCCGCCCGCGGGGGGGGAGGGGGGGCGGAACAAGGAGCTGCCCCACCGCCACCCCAGAACGGCTTCCGGGGAACTCACCCGAGCAGAGGGGCGGGTCTGGCTGCCGTCCAGTCGCGGACACACTTGCTCTCGAAACCCTGCAGCCTTTCCGGGGCCTCTCTAGACTGCCCGGAGGCCGGTGCTTCTCGGTGGCACTTCCGGCGGCGGAGGGAGAGCCCCGGATGAGAGTCCCGGATGAAGGCCCTGGGGCAGCACTTCGCAGTCATGAAGGTTAGCTTTCTAAGGTTTTCCACGTCTTCTGGTCCCACCGCCCTCCCTGCTAACCCGCTGGGCGCTTTTAGCCATTATACCAGTAATGACCGCGACAGACGCTGACAAGGCGTCAGGTAATCCTTGAGACTCTCCGCAGGGAGGTGGCCAAATGGGTGCACGTCGGGGCGAGGACGAATGACCGACCTGATAGTCCAACTTTCGAGAGTTAGCCGATCGGGAACTAGTACAAGGGTGCCTACGCAGAACGTAAAATAACACCAATATAAGGAGAGGATTGTAGGTGCTTCGGTGACATGAGGACCACAAAGTCGTGGGATCGAAATCTAAGGTTCTTGGGGAAAGCGGGGTGAGGGTGTGGGACGTGGGGATCAAGCAAGTTGCAATGGAAGAGGGAGGCTGAGAACTGAGACTGGAAGACAGCTGCATTCTTGGTGGAAAAACTAAACTGTAATCTGGAAAGGACTTTAGCTGTTACTCCTTTAAGCAAATCAAATGCTGTCAAGTCAAATACTATCCTTTAATGTTATTTGACATTTCAAATTAAATACAAGAAAAATCTCAAGTGGACATTCTATGTGCTTTTTCAAGCTACATCAGCTTCTCGGAGATTCTGATTTGCCTTCCCTCTCTTTTCTCCTTGAGTATCATCGATCTAACCCAACTTCTTACTATGACATAGTCCCTCTAGTCTACAGTATCCCTGTCACAATGGAGTCAGGATCAGAGATAGAAAATGCACTGCTTGGTCCGTTGCTTGCTGGACAACTCCAATTAGAAACTTTTTCTTGTGTTAAACAGAAATGTACCCCTTGGTAATGTCTTTTGTTCCTATCGACAGGAACCTAGGACAGCAGATGACACATTACTACCTCCTTTTCATAACAGCTCTTCTGGTATTCTGGGATAAGTTTGGAGTTCTTTCCTGAGCTGCCATTTCCCCACTTCAAATCTCACAGGTTGTAACTGTTACCAGAGTGGTAGGAAACTATTTCTGCAACAGGTGAGCAAACCATGGCAGTGATGCACATTGTGCCCAAGTTTTAGCTGACAGGCAGTCTGCTGCAGTGAGAAGACCACAGGAGGCACCCATTTAACAGTCCACTTGCCACTAATAGTCATAAACCCTAACAGTGGTAAGAAACAGTAGCTACTATTTTGCTTTGGAGCAAAATTTTTTTTTTTTTTTTTTTTTTTTT